ATTTTTATTTATTTTTAGTTTTTTTTCCGGCTAACATTCAAACTTTACGCAAACACAGTACAAAATCTTGCAATTCGCCAGCACGCTTTAACTAGGGAGACAAAAGCCCAGTAAAATAATTAAACTTAAGAACTTCCGAGTTTTCGAACTAGTTACTATTAGTTCCGCGTTGTTTCGATGGTATTTGCAGACTGGCTTCTAATTATTTTAGTTATTCGCTAAAAAGCAATATACAAACTCGCACCAATCCACAGCACGCTTATTCGCACACACATATCTACATAAGTACGTAAATATCTGAGTTTGTCGGTATGTTTTAAAGAAACAGCAGCAGCCGCCAGCAATATGACAGTTCATTTTATAGTAACTTGATTGTTGAGAATGAGAAGCGCAAAAGCGACAATACAATTAACTAGGTAGTTATAAATATCAGCAACACGATATACTATATGTATATGTACATTTGTGTATGCATTTGTATGCACATAGCACACATTTATTACGAGCAAATATTACGTTGAACAGGCGGCAGCCAACCGAGACTTGTGTTTTAAGTTCAGGAAACCCCAGTTAGAGACTTTGCGAGTGCGAGCGTTTCAACCGGATTTGAGAATCGAAAACCAGACTAACTACGCACCTTCCATGGCTTAAAATTATAATTTTTGTATGCAACTACACACATCCATGCTCTGAAATATATATGTACTATATATATTTTTTGTATGCAAAGAAAATGCATTTAATCGCGTTGTCAGGTGATTAGGAAACATTCTTTTCATGCTTATCAAACATTTTAGTTTGTTCGCGGTCAAACATTTATTTTTCAGCCAAGTTTCCGCTACAATTGCGTGGACCAGAGCTGTTAATAATCGATTAATAATCTTAATCATTAATAATTTGATTAAAGTATTTTCATTAAATTAAGATTAAGTACTATTTTCTTTTTAATTCGTGATTGGAATTAAATTTAATTAAAATTTAATCATGATTAAAGGGAATTAATTTAGTTTTAAAAATTATTTTACAGATTAAAAAAATTTAATCAAAAATTTAGTTTGATTAAAAATTTTGATTAATTTGGATTAGAGTGGATTAAATGGCAATTAATATTACATTAATTAA